TTATAGATCATCCACTCACAGCGTCCCCTGGTGTAACAGAGGAGAACTGCCCCACAGGGTTTCCTAGGCTGTCATCTATTGTGTCACTATATACTTGTATATACTCTTATAGATCATCCACTCACAGTGCCCCCTGGTGTAACAGAGGACAACTGCCCCACAGGGTTTCCTAGGCTGTCATCTATTGTGTCACTATATACTCATATATACTCTTATATAATATCATCCACTCACAGCGCCCCTGTGTGACAGAGTAGAATTGTCCACAGGGTTTCCTAGACTGTCATCTATTATGTCACTATATACTCGTATATACTCTTATAGATCATCCACTCACAGCAGCCCCGTGTGACAGAGGAGAACTGCCCCAGAGAGTCTCCTAGGCTGTCATCTAATGTGTCACTTGTTGTTAAGTGCTGTCGAGCCAGCTCCAACCCATAGCAACCTTGTGTAGGGTTTCTGAGGAGCAGCTGGTGAGCTTGAACCGCCGATCTTGCAGTTCAAATGGCTTTGCAGTCTGGCACATTAACCCACAGAGTCACACTAGGACTCTAGATACTCGTATATACTCTTCTATATCACCTCTTTACCTTGGTGAACATTTTATTTTTATGTTTGCCTCTAACCAACAGAAATGTATCCTTTCTCAGTTCAGAAGGTCGAGGTCTGAATTCAGGGAGTAAGTCCTGGGGAAGGCTTTGTCTCTGTGTCATTTCAGAGGGGAGGTTCCTGTGTCCAGCAGCATCTGAGGGTCCAGCATTCCTTGAAGATCTCCGTGGGTTCAGGAACCTCAGCTCTAAAGGACAGCTCTGCTCACCTATCTTCCTTCTGGGTAGCAGTTGGTCCCTCTCCTAGGTGAACATACTTGTCTAACCCAGACCAGCCTCCGTCTGACTCAGTGCCATGTGTTCACAGCAGACTAGTTGGATTACACTCAGAATGCTTTTATGAGAAACAATTTATGCTGTTCTAATTCTTGAACACATAGCAATCCACAGAAGTTATAATTTGCAGAGTTCTCAGAATATATTTTTCTTGATCTACAAAGACAACATGGATTTGGGGGAAGTTAAGAGAAATAAATCATGAAAGGGTTTCATTGAAGATCTGAACATACTGTCTTCACCATATGTCTTCATCTTGTTTTAAAAGTCATCGTAGGTAGGAATACTCTTGCATTAAAATTTTTTTTTCCTGGGGAAATCAAAGTTTTGTTTTTTTCATTTTTGCATAAAATTGAGTGTATTGATATTATATGGGAAGACTTTATGCCCAAATCACTGCCTTAGCAAGCACAGGCACTAAAAAATTATATTGTCTTAGAATAAGACTGCTGAGCAGGGCAATTTTCCAGATAAAAAGGTCAGAAACAAACCCAGCTCTAGGCATTGCATTTTCATGATTCCCTGGTTGGGTGTAGAAAAGACCATGGAGAGAGATTGGCCTATCTTAGCTAACATCATAAGTCTTGATTCAAGTGAGGAATGTAGCAACTGGTAGTGCAATGTCTAAGTGTTCGGC